GCAAAAGTGGAGTAGGTTGCATATCAGTCACAATCTGGTTCTGTGTGGGAATAGATTTGAGGGGCAAATTGCTGCTGTTCCTATCTTCCTATGAGCAGATATCACAGTGTGCATCGATGTGAATATCTATCAGGGTGTGTAGAGTCAGAGTCCTACAGCACTGAGACACGAATGGCTCCATGCCGACCAAGATGTCCATCCATGCTATCCCCATTTCCCTGCATTTGGCCCATATCATTCTCAATCTTTCCTATCCATGTATTTGTCCAAATGTCTTTTAAATGTTGTTAATGTACCCGCCTCAACCACTTCTGCTGGCAGCTCATTCCATATGCGTATCACCCTCTGTATAAAAAAAGTTGCCCATCAGGTTCTCATGTATTCTTTCTCCTCTTACTTTAAACTGATGCTCTCTAGTCCTCAATTCCCCAACCCTGGGAAAAAGACTGAATGCATTCACCCTATACATGTCTCACCATATCTTATACACTTATATAAGATGCCCCCCTCAGTCTCCTATGCTCTAAAAGAAAAAATCCAAGCTTGTCCAGCCTCTCCCTATAACTCAGTCCTTTGAGTCCTGGCAACATCCTTTTTTTTTGTACTCTTTCCAGTTTAACCTTCCCATAGCAAGGTGACCAAAACTGAACACAATACTCCAAGTGCGGCCTCACCAACATCCTGTACAACTGCAACATAACTTCCCAACTTGTGTACCCAATGCCCTGACTGATGAAGGCCAGTGTGCCAAACATTTTCTTCACTGCCCTGTCTACCCGTGACTCTACTTTCAGAGAACCATGCACCTGCACTCCAAGGTCCCTCTGTTCCACTACACTCCTTAAGACCATGAAACTCCGACCTCGATTTGACTTTCCAAAATGCAACACCTCACACTTGCCTATATTAAACTCCGTTTGCCATTTCTCAGCCCACTTCCCCAGCTGATTAAGATCCTGATACCTTTCTTACTGTCCACAATACCACCTATTTTAGTGTCATCCGCAATCTTCTTAATCATGCCTTGTACGTTCTCATCCAAATCACTGATACAGATAACAGTAAGAGCAACAGGCCCAGCACTGACCCATAAGGCACACTACTAGTCACAGGCCTCCGGTCCGACAAGCATCCTTCTACTATTACTCTCTGTTTCCTACCATCAAGTCAATTGTGTATCCAATTTGCCAGCCCTCCCTGAATTCCATGTGATCTAACCTTCCAGCGAAGCCTACCATGTGGAACCTTATCAAAGGCCTTATTGAAATCCATGTAAACTATGTCTACTGCCCTGCCCTCATCAACCTTCCTGGTCACTTCATCAAAGAACTCTAAAAAAATTTGTGAGGCATGATCTCCCATGCATGAAGCCATGCTGACTTCTCCGAATCAAACCCTGTCTTTCTAAATGCATGTATTATCTTATCCCCCAGAATCTTCTCAAGTAACTTATCCACCACAGATGTTAAACTTGATTCAGAGATAGGGGGAACTGCCAATGCTGGAAAATCTGAGATAACAAGGTATAGAGCTGGATGAACACAGCAGGCCAAGCAGCATCAGAGGAGCATTTCTGAAGAAGGGTCTAGACCTGAAACGTCAGCTTTCCTGCTCCTCTGATGCTGCTTGGCCTCCTGTGTTCATCCAGCTCTACACCTTGTTATCACAGATGTTAAACTTACTGGTTTATATCAGCCATGATTGAATGGCGGAGCAGACTTGATGGGCTGAATGGCCTACCTTCTGCTCCTATGTCTTATGGTCTTAAATTCCAGGTTTTTCTTTGCAGCCCTTTTTGAATAAGGACACAACATTCGCTACCCTCTTCCGGGACCTTACCTGTGGCTAACGGTAATTGGGAAAATCAGCATATGTAATGAGGGGATGTCAGCATGTGTAGTGAGGGGGACATTAGGATGTATAATGAGGGGGAATCAAGATGTGTCATGCGTGCATCTCAGTGTGTAATGAGTGCATATCGGGGCGTGTAATGTGGGGGTGTCAGAGTGTGTAACGTGGGGGTATTAGAGTATAATGAATGCATAAAGGGGTTTTGAGTGTGAAATGAGGTAACAGATGTGTAATAAGTGCATATCAGGGTATCTAATGCGTGCGTATCAAAATGTGTAATAAAGGGCTATCAGGGTGTATAATAAGTAGGTATCAGGTGTGTATTGAATGAGCAGAAGGGCGCGTGATGTGGTGGTATCTGTTATATAAGAGAATTTCCGGTGTGCATTGTGGGGTATCGGGTATGTAATGAGAAGGTATCAGGGTGTTCAATGTGTGGCCTTTGTTGACAGCACTAGCAGTTACGAAGTTTGTCCTAGAGACCATTTTCATTGCAATGGAAGATAGTAAAATGTAGGATATGCAGGGTAGAATGATCTTAGTAGGATATTAGGTCGGTACAACATCGTGGGCCGAAGGGCCTGTACAGTGCTGTACTGTTCTATGTTTTATAATGCCCGACTGACAGTGCCTAAGTGGAATGAGTGACAGCACTTCCCGAAAATTTGCTTCAATTAAAGAAGAGGAAAGCAAGGAGAGATTATGGTCGGAGCAATATGATCAGCAGTCACTGTTAACAGGTTTCATTCTGATATCAATGATGCCTACATACCAATCGAGCGCCAGTTTCGAGATCCTAAATGGATTCTTGTCTGCACAACATCGGTGCTGTTAGTACAATTCTGTAGTGCCTGAGGTGGTTAAAGTTTTCAGAGCTAAACTGTGTTTAAAAAACCCTGCATTTATACAGCAAGCTCTGCATACTAAAAATTGCCAATCTCTTATTCTGAGACTGTGTCCCCTACTTGTAGGTCCTCACTGGCACTCCCACAGACCAGGGAAACAAATTTCCTGCATCTATCCTGGCTATCCCTTTAAGAAGTCTATGTATGCTTTAGGGAGACTCTTAATGGAGGAGGGAATGTCAGCATGAGAGAAGGTATCAGCAGCCAATCAGCTAAAATGAGGATAGAGTCAAGGGGCAATTACAAAGATGAAAATAGAGGTTCTTAGCGAGGACATGTGGCTGGAAGTTAATCATGGTCATACAGACTCCTGTGAATCACCTTGAGATGTTTATAATGTTAACGATGATCTATAAATCTAAGTTGTTAGTCATGTTACTGGGAAGCATTTGTGGGTGAGGGTGATGGCCTGGTGGTATTATCACTAGACTATTAATTCAGAGACCCAGGTGATGTTCTGAGGACCAAGGTTCAAATCCCACTGTGAGACATGGTGCAATTTGAATCCAATGAAATTCTGGAATTAATGTCAAACGATGACCATGAATCCATTGTCGATTGTTGGAAAAATCAGTCTGGTTCACTAATGTCCTTTAGGGAAGGAAATTGCCATCCTTACTTGGTCTGGCCAACATGTGACTCCAGACCCATGGCAATGTGATTGACTCTCAACTGCCCTCTGGGCAATAAATGCTGGCCTAGTCAATAACACCCACATCCCCTTAATGAATGAAAACCAAAGCAGTTCATCACACAATAGCTACTAGAATAGAGATAACAAGGTGCAGAGCTGGACGAACACAGCAGGCCAAGCA